CATCAATCCCTGCTGCTGTTCCCAAACACATACTTAAATATCACGGCTCCCTCCTCCCTCCCCAAAATATGAGCAGTGGAAAACTCTCATGGGGCATTCCAAGGAGCAGGTTGTGTCACTGGCCACATAGCCATGCGGCAGCTCAGACATTATATGCTGGTGGTCAGGCAGCTGGTGACAGCAAAGGGCTCAGCCAGCTACCAACCTCCCTCCACCCATCTCCCAAAAAAGCCACTAGTGCATCTGCTGCCATATGTAAATATTGTGCCTTGGATGGATCCACAGAAGACACAAGCGATGACACATGTCATCCTGACCTAAAGGGATGCTTAAAATGTTCTCAGCCACCAGTAGAAACCACCAACCTCACAAAACAAGGTTTGGCAGTAAAACAGCTCATCAAGTTCCACTTTTGCAAACGTATATGCCCATCCAGAACACACATAACTGCAGGTTGCTCCTCTCTGCCCAGGAAGTATTTATTGAAATCCTGCATTTATTGCACACACTACAGCCCCATAAAGGGGCTCAGAAGCCACTAACAATGAGCATCATTGGACTTCCCATACTAAAATGTACTTTGTTAAGGGAGGATCGCCTAAAGGGTGAGCTACTTGCTGTGGCCCTCCTTGAGAGGAGAAAGAGGCATTTCATTCAGCTCCTTCAGAAGTAAGCGCTGGCATTGGCCAGACAAACCCTGCCCTCATCGCTCAGACGAAACATGCCCTCAAGAGTCTACTTTTCCCCAGCCACTACAAAGACAGCTTAGGGCGATTAGTTCAGTAGATGTTATGTGGAGTTAGGCAAGAATAATCCTTTACAGTCTGTCATGGTCCAGGCACTGCTCTCCCTACATGAGATGAACACAGAAGTACAAAAGCAAAGCTCTGCTCCTGAATAATTCAGCTGTAGCTAAAGTACAGGGTCTGGAGATTGCCCTGGGTGGAGTATGACAGGATCACAGGCTGGTTTCCAGCCTATTGTTCTTGAACAGGTTGATACCAAGCTTTGCTCAGGTCCATGGGAAGCTAAAGAGCTAACACAGAGGTCAGCTTTGAAAGCAGAGTTTAACACCAGTGTGTTACTTTGCCAGTGATCCCACCAAACGACCAGGAAAATCAGGGATCTGCTGCTCTGCATTCATATGTATATATGTTTGCAAACGACATGGGAATGCCAGTGCCCACAAGCACTGAAGAGCAAATAAATCCCTTACCCGGTTGTCCTCTTGAATCTCCCAGTCACTGGAGAAGCTCAACACGTGCTGTGCCTGCGAGCAGTTAGAAAACTGGAAAAGACTGGCAAACATCCTTCTGTTCTCCATGGTGTCTGGGAAAATCGCCTCCTGGAAGTTGACTCCATGTGGCAGGAGGATGTAGTTCTCATCCATTCTGAAACACAAATTGCATGGGCAGCCCACGGTGAGGATGAGCAGCACTTTCTCTCCCACAGAAGTCACCTGTCATGCTTCAGCCTGGCTCAACAAGTGCCACCAAAGTCACCCACACAGACTTTTAGCAGGCATGTGGCTCTCAGCTCTCCTGGGACTTAGTTGCTAAGACAGAGGACTGGACCAGGCAGCAGCAGTAAGGACTTAAATAGGCCCCTACCACCCTACAGACATCAATGGACCCTCATGTATGAGGCAAATCCATACTTTAGCCCATGGTTCCTACTGAATTTCCATCACTTTGCCCTTGATCCCAGAGTTTAAGTACTCCTTCAAGCAGTCACAGAATCGTATCATAGAATAACAGAATGGTTTGGGTTGGAAGGGACCTTAAAGCGCACCCAGTTCCAACCCTCTGCCACGGGCAGGGACACCTTCCACTAGAGCAGGTTGCTCCAAGCCCCTGTGTCCAACCTGGCCTTGAATCCTGCCAGTGATTGGGAGTCTTGAAGAGGGGCATGGAAAACATCTCTCCACCCTACAAAAATCATCTATAGCTGTAAAAACATTGAGACATAGTAACCCCACACCTGTGAAGACTTCTGAGCTGAGTACTTCTGCCCTGTAATTATTACACTAACAAGGTCCTGAGCACCTCAGCTATGAACCAGGTCTCTCCTGAACCAAGTGTTGTATAACCAGTAAAGTCAATAAATAACTTCTGTAAAACGTGTTTAAAGATATTGCTGCAGGCAAAGGACTAGGCAGCATCAAGTTGTGATTCATTACTCACCCAGTGCAAGAATATATCGAGTATTTCAAAACAAGCCACTCAATAGTATTTCGCAAACACTCTTGGATTGAAAGGTCACAGCAATGGCTCTGCTCCCACATTGTGGTTTGTTCTCTTATTCTTTCGATGAACCCAGAGTCGGGATTTGGCTGGGGCTTGGGAGAGCCAGGAGGAAGCTATCGGGTGAGTGCTTGGGGATGGGTTTTAAAGTTCCACGCCACACTTTGGTGAAGAGGCGCTGGCCTCTCTGCAGTCCCATCGTAAAAACAAAAGCAGCAGCACCCAGGAGCTACTCAACAGTAGCAGAGTTGACGGACTATTATGAGTTTAGGATTGGCGGCTGGTTTTTTCCCGGTGAAACTGGGGGTGGAAGCGCCAAGCGCTGCGGGGAGAGCGGGATGGAGCGAACACTCTCGAGTGCAGAGGTACCCCGGAGCCGGGATACCGACACCTCCCCTCCGGATACCCCATACCCCGGGACTCACCGGAGGAAGAAGAAGTAAGCGTAGCCCTGCATGACGGTGTGCGAGTGGCAGGAGAAGTACCCGAGGCCGGTGAGGTTGAGGCGGGAG